AGGACACTCACTGTCTTTTGTGGATGAGATTTTTCCCATTTCAGGGGTCTGGCCTGGAACACTGCCTTCCCACCCCACGACTGATTCCTAAGACCCTATCTAAGTAGGTACTGTGACTCACTCACTACTCCAAGGGTAGCAGATAAGTGAGGAGGTTGAGCGTGGATTTTGAACCCAGCTCGTCCACTTATGAGCTGTGTGAACACTCACCTCATCTCTCTGTGCCTCAGTTTCCTCATCTGCGTAATGGAAATGGTAATAAAAATCCCTCCCAGAAGGCTATGAGGATGGAATGATTTGGTTGTATAAAGTACATCGAGTAGTGTTGGCTACATGGTAAGGATTCAGTAAATGTTAGCTCCTATGTTTATTATATGCTAGCCAGTTTGCCTCACATCAACAAAATACTATAACATATAAAGGTTTTCACAGTATTTATTATGTTTTCAAGTCTTATGCAAATTGAGTTTTATTCACATACTATATCTACTATTAAAATAGAATCTTTTAGTCTGTCATGAATGGATTCCACTCTCAACATTATTTTTAATCATACCTACAGACCTCTCATGTCCTGATGAAACCAGAACTAACCCAAAGGAGCAAGCAGTCTTTATAACTCTTCTTTGCAGAAAGGTCACACCTCACCTGAGTAAGAACCATTTATTTCCATTGATCAAATACAAATCATTAAAATTTCATAATTAACAAAAATTATGACTGATAACAGATAAATAAGGTACTACCAATCCCCAACAATTGATACATATCTATTTCTGGAAATACAATTTCTACAAACAGAGAGACAAGATGTCAAGAAAGAGGACTACATGGCTTAATTTGCTTAGAAACTAGCAGAACATGTCTTAAAAAGGCCTATTTTATGTCTGGGGGAGATGTAGAGATGGGCTGATACTACAACATGATCTCTTTTTTCATAGTAGGGCTGCCCCTGAATGATATTTTGATTAATGACAAGGAAATGATCCAAAACTGATAGCTTTTCTGCCTATGCAGAAAAATGATGTCAATCCAAGGGAAGAATATGCAGGACTAAAAAGCTGGGATATTCTTTCCCCAGAAATAGAGCACAGAACAGCAACATCTATTTTAAAATGTATTTCTATTAAATGTTTACTACTCTGAATCTTTGTCAGTGTATTTACAATGAACTTAATAACTAAGCATTTATCTTTTTTTAAAAAAATCCAAAAAGTTGTTGCTGTGATCTTCACTTGCTGTTAAAAGGCTAATAAGTTTCCAGCCTTCTCATTGGATTTTTAATTTTCTTTCTATAGATAAAATAGACCTACTAAAAAGATTATTTTTTTTAAGATTGTTAAGGCAGGAGTCATTTGTAACACTATTGGGATTTTTTGTTCCCCTCCAGTTTAATTTGCCTGTTTTTTTAGTGATTAATCTCTCTTAGTTTCTCTCATTTTTAGAATCTTTGTTGTATTAGTTATCCAGTGCTGTGTAACAAACTACATCAAAACACAGTGGCTTTCTATCACAAATATTATCTCACATAGTTTCTGAGGGTCAGGAGTCCAGAGATGGCTTAGTTGGGTGGTTCTGGCTCAGGTCTATCCCAAGAGTGTAGACGGGGGCTGCAGCTCTCTGAAGGATCCACTTCTAGGCTCACCAATGGCCTCTTGGCAGGAGGCATCATTCACTTCTTCACCTGCTGTTGGTAGCCTCAGTTACTTGTCACATGGGCCCCTCCATAGGGCTGCTCGCAATAAGGCAGCTGACTTCCCCCAGAGTAAATGATCCAAGAGAGAAAGCAAAGTAGAGGCCATGGTGTCTTTTATAACCTAATCTTGGAAATGATGTACTGTCACTTCTGTCATACGCTTTTAGTCACACAGACCAACCCAGATAGAGTGTGGGAGGTGGTTATACAGGCTGTGAGGAGAATACCCTTACCAAGGGCCATCTTGGAGGCTGACTACCAGACTTGCAGTGATATGTATGATTTGCCCATAATACAGACCTGCAGAGATGTATATACATTTCACAACATTTATAATGAGATATATTTTCTTTTAAGTAAATAGAGTGGCATAGTGAAAAAATTGTTTAATGTTTTAATATTATCACATTATTAATTCCCTCTATTTAACCTATTATTACCATAGTTTGGTAACATTTTGATAATCGGCATAGCATTTCTAGAGGATTATTTAAACAATTACAATACAAAACATTAAACAAAATGTCTGTCAAATCAATACACGTTAATGATTGACAGCACATTCCAGAGTAAAGTTCATTTCAGAAAAGCAAAATTGCTTTGTTTCCTCATGACAGCGACCAAGAAATTTAAACTAAATTAAAATGAGCAATCCATTTTTTTTTATTACAAATTATTTCTTGAAACTTCTTTGGATATGTTTTAGGCATCTTGAGAGTTCTGTCAATTGCTTACTTATATTAAAAGATGAACAGAAGCTAATGTTGTAGAAGATAAAGATTTGGATAGATTAAACATTGAGAAAATATGCCTGGACTTTAATACCTAAGATAACTGGTGTTTTATATCCCCAAACTCAAGTTGCCACAAACCAAAATACTCTAGTTCCTTATCAGTTAGTTCTGTGGAACCATGTGTTGGTGGTAATGCCTTCCATCTGTGATATTATAATGCACAGTCTATTTTAATTTTAGTTCTTACAAGATGATAACTACTCTTCACATGTGAGTGTCATCTAAACATGTAGGACCACAGCATTTTAGATATGGGAAGATCCTTGGAGTATTTTATGTTGAAAGCATTTCTCACTTTTGCAGGGTTGGGAAATACTGTACTTCATGGGGCTGCCTCCCCATGTTCTCTGTTTCATCCTCAAAAATGTGATTAAAATTCAGAACCTAGTGATAGCACAGAGAAGTACTAGATCATTGATCATTATTCAGTGTATATAATTTCCACAAAAAGCCAATAGCAGTCGATGTAGTATGGTTTCAAAGAGTTAGAATAGAAATCAAAGACAGACACTGGGCAGACCTTTTAAACCTTCTCATCTCCTGCCACACACAACCACACAGTGATCAGTGGATAGTGCTTCTCTTTGAGTATTTTATCTTCTTATTAAAACTAAAACATATTTCAAAAAATGGTTAAGGTTAAAAGTAGGAGTCATTACAAATATAGCACATGCACACACTCAACTGCCTATATTTTGGTTACTCTGCCCCATGTTCAAGAGATTATTTTGGTTTAGCATCAGGGTCAGATTACAAAGTTTAATTCTAAAGTAAAGAATTCTTTTTCTTTTCATTTGGCTTGTGGAATTGCAATGCATTGTATAGAGCTAATCTTAGCCAAAGATTACCATAAGAATAAAGCTGATTCCTTTCTCTGACAAAAGCCCCAGCTAATGTACAGAAGAATTATGGGACTTTAGCCAAGATTGGACCAACCTTTAGGGACTTAGCTAAATTTTATTTCCTAAGTTTGACTTGCAGAAATCAAAATTTGATATTTTTCCAAGTTCACTGACTAGAATATGCAATTCGTGATAGGATAAGTTCTTCATAAAATTGGATTGTTTATTACTCAGTACATTGATCTCTCCAGTAGTTTAAATTAATATTTTGATTCTCATATGTTACCATCGATTTTTTTCTTGTATTTGAATTCAAGGATCATCCTTGTTTTCCTTTATAAGAAACTATCCTTCACTTACTTTTTTTAAAAAAGATTTTTATTGGGGAATTGGGGGGATGGGAACCGTGCTGGGGAATTGGGGGAAGGAGAACAGACAAGTTGCTGTCCTTTTGTTCTTCAGTCTAGTTGTGGAGGACGTTGCTTCACTGGCGAGGCACATCAGTCGCCGGCTTCTGGACGGCCGCTCACTGCGGCTGCTGGCTACACACGGTAGCCCATGGCAACCTACGCCGTCACCGGCGACTCACGGCAGCCCAGCTCCAGGTCGAGCTGCCATTCAGCATCCCAGCTGCAGAGGGCAGTGTCACTGGGCCTCACACGCAGGATTCCAACCAGGGCCCTCTGGCATCCCAAGCCAGCTCTCAACCAGCCTGCCTCTCAGCCGGCCCCCTTCACTTACTTTTTGTCCTTTTCTAATATTATGGCAGTTTCTTAATTCTTCATTTCTCTACAGAGCATGAGGATACAGTCTTTCTTAGAGCACAGTTATGTGAATTTATCAATATTTAATTAGTCTTCTTTACTGTTTTCTAATTATTGCTTTATATATCGAGGTGCCAAAAAAAAGTGTGTACACATGACTTGTATTCATCTTTTGTAATCAGTATATATTGAGTATTACAATTTTAATAGTTTTTTTTTTCCTTTCTTCAAATGCATATACATTTTTTTGGCACCCTCTATATACTTGAGTAAAGCTAACCTCACTCCAACCTCCAAAACTCTGGACTTTCGGGGGCATCTATTCTAAATTTTATTTCTGTAATAAAGGAATTGTTTCAGTTATCTGTGGGTACATAACAAACTACCCCAAAAGTTAGTAGTTTAAAACAATCATTTTGTTGTTTGTCACAATTCTGAAGGTTAACTGGGGCCCAGCTGTATGGTTCTTCTCCTGGTCTCATTCGGAGTCTCTCACGCAGCTTCAATCTATGGCAGGTGGGGCTAGAGGGTCCACAGAAGATGGACTGTGCACTCTGGTCCCTTGCTTGGAAGGCTGGGCTCAGCTGGAACAAGTGAGCCTTTCCCTCATCACAAGGCCTCTCGACATGGTGTCTCCAGCAGGAGAGCTCAACTTTTACGTGGCAGCTAAGGACTTCCAAAACGCAAGTGTGGAAGCTTCCAGGTCTTCTTAAGGCTTAGTACCAGAGTCACTTCTGCCACATTCTGTTGGTTGAAGTGACTCACAGTGTCGGCTCAGGTTCAGTTTGGGAAGAAATACACAGGGCATGGGTACTGGAAGGCCATATCTAGAGACTAGCTACCATAGTGGTTATGTTTTCCTGTTTCTTCACTAAGACCTCAATTTCTCTCTACTTCTTTTCAGTTCCCTGTGTCTCTGGTGGTTTGCCTAAGCCTACAAATATCACATTCTTATCTATAAACATGAAGAATATCCTGCAGTGGAGTCCTCCAGAGGGCCTACAAGGAGTGGAAGTTACTTACACGGTGCAGTATTTCATGTAAGTTGGTTCTTTTCCTTTTGGTTAATTTTTAAACACAAGACTCAAACTCCTATTAATTGTGTGAAGATAAACCATCTTTTTGTATTAAATAAATATTTGAAAAAGTTTTAGATATTTTAATTTTCTTGCTATGTTTTGTTAGATTAAATGAGAAAATAATTTCTTCATGGAATAGGAGCATTGGGTGCTTAGGAAAGGGGAAGTTATTTAAATGGAGAAAAGAAGTTGATCAAAATGTTATTCTGTGGCTGAACAAAATGGGAAATCCATCATCTCTGAAACATCTAAACTTACCTGAATTATAGACATTTTTAAGTGAAACTGAGGGCAGAATTCTGTGCAACTCGCTGTTCCTATTAAAGGTAGTAGTGATTGGACATTTTTACTTTTCACCTCGCCCTCAAAACTCATTGCAAGCAAGAAAAAATGCAAATCAGAGAAACAATACCCGCCTTCAAAGCAAAGAAGGAAATGACCACAACCCCAAGCCACAAACTATGAAGCGTACAAGCCAAATACTGTGAAATATGAAGGAGAACAACTGAGAAGCTGAAAGCAAACCTATACCTTCTCGAATTCCAACAATAGAAAATAATTTCCCAAGAATAAATGTCCCAAGACTAAGAGGCTTACCTAGCAACCTAAGGCTGTGTAATCTTAGCCACCAGAAACTGAGGAAATGTTTCCACAGAGCCTCAGTTTGGTGCCACAGAATGTCAGAGGAGGAGCTAAAAGAGAAATCAGGTTCAAGTGACATATCCATGGTAGAGGCCTAGTCACAGCCCAGGGGGGAAGCCTGGAGTGAGGTGTGGGCAGGAAGGAGGGGAAGATGTGACATGTGACTTTGCAGATGTGCCATGAGCCACATCAGCCTCCCACAGTCCAAAACCTGAGGGTGGGCAGGCTTCCCGGCAAAGGGAATAATATAATTCAGTGAGCAGGTGTGTGACAGACCCTCACTCCTATACCCATTCACCTAATAGTCAACAAACAGCTGGCCCCATTCAAAGAGTGATAGTCCCAAGGAAGCCAGCACAGCACCTATCCATAATTCCTTGAAGGGAGAACGACCAAAAAAAAAGAACACAAGTTAAAAATTTCTGAAAAGCTTTCCCATGGAAGTAGGAGAAAAATTCAGACAAATAATTATTCATAGTTTGAGTCCATAAACAACACGTTTCTAATGATAAAGCTCAAAGTAACAGCCTCTTCTCAAAAAAGAGATTCTAAGACAAGAGGAAGAACTTTCCTTTTTTTTTTTTAAAGCAAATGGGCAGAGCTTAGGAAAAAGATGGGAAGTACAAATGTCACATAGAGATGAGAAACCTATTACAGCTAACTGATAGTAATAGTTGAACAGGTAATGATGACTGTCTGAAATTGCATATCGTAAATGCATGTTATGTCTAGGAAAATTTAATAAAACAATAGCAAAACAGTTCCTCTGTAGAGCTAAGACTAAATAGTGATGGGAAATATGGTTATCAAACTTTCTTGTCAATGTTTGAACCTAAACAATAATATAACAAATCAGAAGGTGGGGAAAAACTGTAAGTGTACTGATTTTTATAGCAGCAAGTCATTAAATGTGATCTAAAATGAAAATACTTTAATAATTAAACTCTCAACATTTTCCAATAAACCATTTTCTTAATCTAAAATATTTTTAGGAACCAATATCTTTTGTGATAATGAAACATTTGAACTACAGCAATTCCTGTAACTTCACTTCAATTTATTTTTTATATTAAAGTCCAAATCAAGTTAAGTTTACTGTTTTTCTTAAAACCATATATAGGGTATAATCTACTTTTTGTCTATATATTCAGCTATCTGATTATCCTCCTGGTTATAAAAAAGCATATGAGGGATGCATATCAAATGTTTCAGGGTAATACGTTTCAGGGTGATTTATTTCTCTCTTGATTATATTTTTCTGATTGAGTTTTTTTTTTAAGTACCATATTGACAAAAAGAGAATAAAGTCATTTTTGTCTTTGCAAAAAAACTCTGACCACTGAAGGCAGTGAAAGACTTCAGCTGCTATTCAGAATGACGCCATTTCTCTAAACCCACATTTCTCATTTCTGAGGCGTTTCCCAGGTGACGGGATTTTAGGAAAGAGCACATCGTGGTGCAGAGAGAACTGGCTTGTGAGCATGCCCTTTCCTCCTTCTCCATTAGGTGGGGCAAAGAGCTCGCTCTGTTCTTTATATTATATGTCTATGTGGTTCAGAAAAGGATTTTGAAAAATGGGCTGATTCATCACTGCTCTGTGACAGCAGGTCATTTGGACTGTGCAAACTTTGAAAAGGAATATTTAACAATAAACTTGCCATATTGGAGTTCTTACATGCCCATGCATCTGGGCGGTGGACAGGGATACAGGGCCGTGTACTTCACTGACAGGGCTCCAAGCACAGCCCAGAGTCAGGCAGTGCTGGGCTCATAGCCAGGCTATGAACATCGCCGGGTGACCTTGGGCAAGTTACAGATTATTATACTTTTGCATGAAGTTTGTTTCCAAGTAAAAGATGAAATTTGAACAAAAGTTTAAATTATATCGGCCAAAAACATTTAGTGCAGAAAATATAGCGTAGCACTAAAAGCACAGTATCAGGGAAAAGTGCTTCAAATCTCATATAAGCCTTTTACTGGTCATATGAACTTGAGCGGTTGACTCCCTTAATCTCACTGAGCCTCAGTTTCCTCATCTGTAAAATAGGGGGAAAATAATGGCACCTGCCTCCTATGATAATTAAATGAGATAAAGCGAGCAAATACTAAGCACCATGTGGCACACAATAGACATGTGATAAATGTTTCCTGCCGTTTCAGAGGCCACTGAGGGTCCCTCATGACCTTTTGCCTTGCATAAACAGCATTACTGGAGTATTCGTGGAATGATTCACGCCTATCAGGTTGTCAGACTTGCAAAGCGTTTTGTACAGAGCCAGGTGAAAGCATTTTCTCTTCCATCAGCCTCTGTCATGATGCCAATGTTTTTCAAAACATAAGTCCAGACCTGTTGGTGGGCCATGAAATCAATTTTGATGGACATACTAGCATTCTTTATAATGGAAAGGACTGGAATGGTATGGAGTGGATTGGAATGGAAAATAGCTGAATGCATGGCATGTGCTAAAGTTTCAGTAGTATTTTACAAAAACTTTGTTTTAGTATGTTAGATATATGTATGTTTTTGTGAGCTAGGTCACAATGTAAAATGTATTTCTTTCTGTGGCTCACAGTCAAAAAAAAGTTTGAAAGTCCCTAGGCCATGGTGATAACTTGGATGGAGAAGTTGGTCAATAAGACCTGACTATTATATTTCTAATGTCTTCTGGCAGGTACAGTACTTATGAAACAGGAGACATTTACTTTCAAGAACCTGTTGCCATATTCTGAAAAGGGAAGATACCCTTAAGCCTTGGCAACACTTGATAAGTTGACATTTCCTTCTTAGCACATGCTCTTTCCTTGACTTCTATAATGTCTGTTTTTCCTTCTTTCTCTTCTGCTGCTATTTCTTAAGTGTACTTTGTATCCAACCTTTAAATCTTGATGCTCCTGAAATTTTATCTTAGGCTTTGCTTTGTCTCCACGGATAATTTCATTCACGCCTATGCCTTCAATGAGCTTCAGAATCACTACCTCCCACTCAGACCTCTCCCCTGAGCCCAGTGTCTATGGGCATCTGCGTTTGGATAGCTTTTACATACCTCAAGCTCACTCTATGTCAACTGAACTCATTATCTTTCCCTCTTTTTACATCCCACTCCCCATTTCCCAAGACCACTCTCCTTCTGTGTTCCTTATCTTGGTAAATATTGCCACACCCACCTGTCCCAGACAGAGACTTCATCAGCTTTAACACCTTCATTTCACTGGTCACCTACATGCCCTCGAGTCCTGTCTCCTAATATTTCTTCCTTTTGCCCTTTCATTTGTTCCATGGCTATCATCCTTGTCCAGGCCACCTACATCTTCCACCTAGACGACTGCAGTATCCTCTCAGCTCCTCTCCAGTCTGTCACTCCTAACCCATTACATTCACCATGCGACCACCAGAGTTCTTTCTGCAACCCCAACGCCCCTGCTTTAGTCCTTTCAGTAGCCTCCTGTGCAACCCCATCTCTTTCACTGGTTCCTCCTGTGTCACTTAAACCCTATACCTCAGTGTCTCCCACCTGAAAAGTGCTAAAAATATTTCCCCCTCCCTATTTACTATGGGTGTTGTTTTCAATGAAGAAAAGAAAAAAAAATCAATGTGAACAACCTAATTAATATCATCATTATCCTCATCACTATCATTACTGAAAATGCAGATTTTGGTAAATTCACTCCAACCTAGTGAATTTTTCCCAAACCCTTGATGGAAAATAGATTTTTAAATTTTATGAGACTATCAAGGCAATTTTTCTTCCAAGAAAAATAAGTGACTAAATTTTCCTTAAAACAACCAAACTGACCATAATATGCATGATGGACTAAAAACTTACATGAATAATGACTAGAAGAATTGATCATACAATATGTAAAATTTTTACTGTAGCCCAAGAATAATAATAGAATACATGCTTTCAAAATGCACTATCCACATTATAATTCACAGAAAAGAAAGGTGATCACAGAAACCCTGACTCACGTTCCTGACAGCTAATGAAAAAAATTGCCAGCAGCAAAAGTAGATCTTTTTTATCTAAATGGCAGGCCCTTTTGTTTTTCTGAAGAGAAGGTCTTAAGTGCCATTCAGTTTTATATAATGACTGGTTTTCTTTTCCTATTGTAAAGCATAGAGGGCACCGCATTATTAATTCAGTTTCCTTCTCGGCAGATATGGGCAAAAGAAATGGCTGAATAAATCCGACTGCAGAAATATCAATAGGACCTACTGTGATCTTTCGGCTGAAACTTCTGACTACGAACATCAATATTATGCCAAAGTTAAGGCCATGTGGGGAACAAATTGTTCCAAATGGGCAGAAACTGGACGATTCTATCCTTTCTTAGAAAGTAAGTAACACAATGGTCTATTAAACACGTGTGAATATCAAGTTCACCTGACCGCCTCGTGTGGACAGCATTGCCCGAGAGGCCATTGCTCTGCTTGGCTTTATTCTACACTCTGCCCATCAGCTGGTGGAGTGACCAGCCCAAGGCACTTCACCTCGCGGAATTGCAGAGTCTCATCTTTAGAACAAAATGTTTGGCGAAGTGATTTCTAAGATTGCTCCCAGATAGAAAATTGACGCTAGATGCCAATATTATCAAATTTTGGCTTTATTTTATTATTTAGTGGAGACTATGTAATTTGAGGAACAACTGACAGATTTTTATAAATGTTGTGGGTTTATAAACCATTGCTATATGCCCACGAGACCGAGGAAAGATTGTTCTGATCACCAAACTTAAGTCTCTACTTGTTATAAACTTGGTAGTGTGATGATATACTATCTTGGTGTAACTCAGAATTAAGGCACCATCTTCCTGGTATTTGCTTTTTAATTATTCCGCCCCTGATCTGTAGCTGACTCAGCCACAGAGGACCCACTCAGAGCTGACACGGTGAAATTTGCAAGTTCCCCTTAGGTCATGGAGCTGGAGCCTATCCCCTGGTGTCCTTCTAGATCAGAAGTCAGCAAACTATGTCCTCAGACCAAATACAGCACTACCATCCCCCTTCTGTTTTTCTACAGGCCAAGAACTAAGAATGGTTTTTACATTTATATAAATAATAGTTGCAACAGAGGTCATATAGCCTTGCAAGGCCTGAACTATTTACCGTCTGAGCCTTTATGGTAAAAGTTGCTAGCCTCTGGTCTATTGGGTTGTCGGAAAAGTCAAAATGCGCCATGACTTGCCCGACAACCCAATAGATCATCCCAATCACACCTCCAAAGGTCTTTAGCAGTGCTTCATTTTTCCATATCTGATTTTTGCCTCTTATCAAATCATATTAATGTTATTTATCACCAACTTTTCAAGTCATAGGAGTGTTGTAAACACTTTTCATTGTATTTTCCATCATCAAATACTGTCTATCCATGTAACAAGAAACTAAGTAAATACAGCACTTCAATTAGCTGTTTTAACCTTGTGTCAGGGTGCGTGAAATGATTGTTTCAAGAATTGGCATAACTTGGGCCCACCTTAGAGCATTCTGAGGCATCTCAGATGGAGGGTGGGTGGAGCTTGGATCCCAGTAGGATTATATTGTATATGCAAGGTGGTTTCTACATCTGAATGTAATTCCTTCTCCCTTTCCCTTTAAGCACAAATTGGCCCACCAGAGGTTGCTTTGACTACTGATGAGAAATCCATTTCTATTGTTCTGACGGCTCCAGAGAAGTGGAAGGAAAATCCAGAAGAAAGTTCTGTCTCCATGAAACAAATATACTCTAATCTGAAGTATAATGTGTCTGTATATAACACTAAATCAAACAGAACGGTAAGCCTGAAATGGGGGCATATAATCTGTGTCACTTTTTGCAGTTAATGCTAGAACAAGCTGCCCTGATGTTTTAATTCTCTGCATGTGGAAATGGGGAGATGTGATATTCAAAAGAGATGCCATCCAAGATACAATTGAAGCTGATATATAGAAACTTAAAGAATTTTCTTCAGATTTCCTTTACAGAAACACTCTGTTAGTGGGGTATGATGTTGCTATTGGAGTAGCTGCCCGCCTCACTTTGATGGACAGCTTTTACTCGCATAACATCTGTCAGTCACTCTCCACGAAAGAAGAAAAGTGTTACCAGGAACACAGGACAAAGTTGAATAGGAAATCCATTCTTATGTTATTATTCAGCATGGTTCTCAGAATTCCAGTTCCGGGGCATGCTCTGCCTAGCTGAAGGAAATGGGTATTTTAAAGCTGTTGAAACTAAAGCTTGTAGTGCTAGGAAAGGATTTAATGGTAGCTCAGTCTTTTATTTCCCTGTAATTTGTCTGGTGTGGTACTGGAAATCTTTGCCTCTAACTGCTGTTTGCAATTCCCTAACCTAGTGGTCCCACTGTGTTACCAACCACACGCTGGTGCTCAGCTGGCTGGAGCCGGACACTCTGTACTGCGTCCACGTGGAGTCCTTTGTCCCAGGGCCTCCTCGCCTTGCTCAGCCTTCCGAGAAGCAGTGTGTCAGTACTTTGAAAGGTAACCTTAAAGAAAATCTCAGCTGCTCTGAGGCAGGAAATCTGATAAGACTAGAAGAAAGTATGACACTATAGACAAGGTTTTGGCAAATCTGTTTCTACCAGAAACAGGTTGAGGCAAAGGCAGAAACAGCCATTATGTGTTGAGCAGCCGGGGCCCCTGCCATTGAACTTGGCCAACATTAGGGAGTGTTTTCACCGGTCCTGGCGTTCGCTGCCCACAAGCCTCTGCCTTGTGGAAATGATACCTAGGAATTTTTACACACACCTTTTTCCTTCTTTAAAATTACAATCTGGTCAATAGAAGTTCTGTGGTCTTCAAGAACATCAGACAATTTTATTGCTGGAAACAAGGCATTATCTTAAAAACACTGTAAGACGGAATCCTTGGCTCCCCGTGAGGAATATAAATTGCACGCCCCGCAAGGTGCATTCAGATACCATTGACTGTCTGAACAAGGGTCTGGGATCCGCAAATCAGTAATTACTGCCTCACTCTTGCAATTGCTTCCCTCTCCTTCCTTTTATTTGTCTCCTCGTGTTTTCTGAACTTGGCTGCTAAGAAACTGTGGGTGAAGATTCTCTTTCCTAGTGGAAAACAGAGTTAGGAGCTTGACCTTTGTTTATACATTCTTTCCCCAGGGTGAGAGGACCTTGTAGTCAAAACCTGAAAATTGAAAATAAATCCTGAAGTTCATCTTCATCGAATGACTCTTCATCTGTTATTCTTCTGTTTCTCTCTTCGAAACATGCTGGCCTAAGACAGATGTCACAGCTTTCCCCACCAAGCCTTTGGTTCCACCACCAGTTATGAGATAGGCATGGGGACAGAACCCCCACTTTTCTTTTCCCTCACGCCTCCCACATTTCACGATGAAACTGTCCCAGGGAATAAAAAGGGAATTTTGTGAATACCTATCAAAAGTGAAATGCTTTATTTTTTATTTTTGAATCTGTCCTTATCAAACCTTTTCCTTTAAAATGAAGGGTTCTCTACCATATGTCAAATAAAGCTAAAATGCCAAGCAAGCAAAAGGCAAATGAAAGCAGATTGAAGAACTCATTTTTGTATTTGGGAAAAGTACCCAGTTTACTAACAGCTTGACCAGTGACCATATGGTCAGAATCAATTTCCAATGGAAGCCATTTAAGCAGTTGGCACAGCTAATGCAGCTAGAGTATAAATTAAATTAAACAGTTCCCGGTAAGCAGATGAAGCAACTTTCTAACTAGTCTAGGACAGGTAACAAAAGAATAAGGAGGCCCCGTTTCAGGTTCTGACCTTTTCCGTGATATCCCAGCTGTTAGATTACCCTAAATACCTTTCTAAGACACTGCTCTGAAGAGCTACTTTAAAAAAAATAAAATCAGTATTATCTTTCTGGGGACTATTCTTTGAAAACTATTTCTACTCTCCACACTCTTCCAATCCAGGTACAGTTGATTAGGTTGATTGTAGCCAACATGCTCTAGTGTACAGTAAGTGCCACCGGTCCTTGTTGTCATGGCTCTTTTTTAATTGGGGCAAGTTCCGTCCAGAAAACAGGGATAGTATTAAGAGGACTGGACTAAGCTGTAGCCTTAAGTAGAAGAAGGTGGTGCCGAGCCACCTGCGTTATCCGTTTTGTGGTGTTGGCACCTTTCTGTGTGGAACTTGGTGACAGATGTGTTCGGGTTGCAAGAGCCTGCAGTTTGGACCCCCGTGCCTGGGAATCTGCTTTGCTCACGTCTACTCATTTAAATGCTAATCTCATCTTAAAAATGCCTTCACAGAAACACCTAGAATAATATTTGACCAAAATCTGGGGACCATGACCTAGCCAAATTGACGCATAGAATTAACCATCACAACTTCCAAGTACCCCATAGATGCTTAACCAATGTAAGTTAGTCACAATGGGCCCTGTTCATCAATTGTATACTCTGATCAATGGTGGGCCAGGATGACTTTCCTTAAAACTGTTCACCAGGTCTTTTCATTCCCTATGGACTTTTACTCAGTGTGAACGTACAGCACCTCAGGCCCTGGAAGGGAGTTACTGCCATTCTCAGTACATACTAGCTCAGCAACCTCCCTACACAGACCCCCAGGCTCCAGATGTACCCAGAAAGTCTGGCCAACTTGTGCAAGGATAGGAGCATTAGACATAGAAGGTGACGCCGTGTATCCCTGTCCTCTACTAAATAAGTGGAAAAGATTGAGTTAAAAGAATGACATGGAAAAGTGGGGCTGCTTAGTGGGCTCTTCACACGAGAATTTTCTTTGGTTTGAAGTGCTGTGAGTTGCCTTAATTTCAGACACATTTACCTTCAAATAAACAACCAGCATGAATCTCATAGCCAGACATAAAATGTTGGAATATCTGCTGACTTGGGTTATTAACTCATCCTTACTCTAAAGGTTTGAGACAAGTCCAGATGATTCCGTAAGACCACCTACTGTCAGAGAGAGAAAGAATTCTGAGACCCTTTGTAATATTTAGCTCAAGCTTCTCCATTTATAAATGAGAAAACTGAATCCTAAATTTAAATGATCCGCCCCAAGCCTCTTGACGTTGCCAATGTTTTCCCACCGCATGAAATTATAACTATCTACCCCGCCCCCTTTTTTTTTTTTTTTTACAGATCAAACATCAGCATTGAAGGTTAAAATCATCTTCTGGTATGTTTTGCCCATATCTGTTACCGTGTTTATTTTTTTTGTGATGGGCTTCTCCATGTACAGATACATCCATGTTGGCAAAGAGAAACACCCAGCAAATTTGGTGAGTGCTAGGTGTGGTAGGGGTCATTATAACACCTCCAGGAGGCTCTCGAATTGACACTGTTCCTTTTATGGGCAAAGTGAGTTTAAATTTAAAGAGCTGATAAATCAAAAACACTTTCTCTACTAGATTAACTCACTAACATAACCAAAGAGAAAAGATTCCTTAGTTTGGACAAAGATTTTATTTAATGACCAGATCAGATGAGGTCTTGAGGTACAAGATAAATCATGATGCATGCCCTTTCAGAGGCTCAAGTCTTATTTGGAGACGAGAATTTCAAAATGATATGTGAAGGCTAAGATGAAAGCAGGCACTGGGGCTGCTGGGGGTACAGGAAAGGCACTGACACCCTCCATGGGGGATCAGGAGAAGTTTCATGCCTGGGCTTGGTTATGAACAGTGAGTCAGAGACGGGGCACCCACTGCAGGCAGGAGAAACAGCAGGAGCCGAGGTGTGTAGGTGTTGGGGAAACCACATGCTATTGTTAAATCATAAGGTTCCTGATGAGGAGCTATGAACTGTGAGAATGGAGAGTGAGTGGTAGGGCCAGGTAACGGGAGAATTGGGCTGTTAGTCTAAGGAGCTTGGGCTTTATTCTGCTGGCAAGGAGAAACCTCTGCAGCGTTTTGTATTGGGTGTATCATGGCTAATGTTGTGTTTTAGATCCAACTGGATGGTAGGTTTAAGACAACTTTAGGGGAAGTGAGACTCGAAACTATAAAGCAGCTAAGAGACTGTGGCAGTTTTCCAAAGGAGAGAAGATAAGAGTGTAAAAGAGGAGAGTAGGATGTAGGGCTGGAGACAAAGACATGGAACGGAAACACATTTAGGAGGAAAACAGCCAGGACTTAATCATTCACAGTAAGGAGAAGCAAGAAGGGAGAAGGAATAAACCTTATGCTCCCTGGACCAGGCACCGAGGGGATTTGAAAGGCTGAGCATATTTTAACCACAACAAATGGTTTCTTTGGGAATGATTAAAATATATGTTCACATGTATGTGACACATTCATGTATTCTTGTTAGTTCGGTTTTAAAATGTTCCTATTAACCAGCCTGCATGTAGGTAGTTTTGTAGTTAGCTTTTTAGTGGCATAGGGAGACCTTTCTTGGGAGGAAAATTTACAGAGTAGACCACGCGCAACTTTTTGAAACCAAAAAAACTTGTAAAAGAAGGAAGCTGAAGGACCTCTTTTATAATGTGAAATGAAGTCACATCATTGGATAGACAATGAGGATTGTCACATAACCCATCACTGGCAACCTAAACAGGCATCTTCCACGTATCCCCAGCAACATTTTAATCTGAAACAAGTTTTCCTGACATAATTTTGAGTTTCTCTATCTGCCATAAACTGGCAAATGGATTTCCCTTTATGGCTTGATTATAGCATGATTAGAATGGTGAATGGCGGAAGTAAAACTATCCCTACTCATGAGCTTATATCCCTTTTATATCCAGTGTTCATGCCCATTCACATTTCATGTCCAGAGTATATTCAAAAGAGGGCCCAGGTAACCATAGCTCATTAACAAATACATAGTAAACTGTAATTAACAAAGCAATTTCAAAAACTGTCTCACTCAGTCCTCACCATGCCTCATGTGGCAGAAATTCTGATTTTGGAGAATTAAAAATCAAGGCTTGAGAAATTAAATAACTCTTCTGAATTCCCTCAGAGAGTTAGAGATGGGGTCAGTCACACCCTGATCTTTGACCTGCACAAATACCCCCCCAGTGAACCACTTTTCGCTTCCATGTGCATTTCATGTGTCTTGGGTCTCTAGCCTCCATGTGAATGAAGTTTTCTGTATATTCTAAGCATAACTTTTACTTCCATGAGTTGATAAGAATAGATCTGATGACAGTATGAATTCTGCTTAACAGCTGTTTTTAATGTCTCTCTAAAGTGAAAAGGTGAAAAACATTCTCTTGTCTCTTCACAGATTTTGATTTATGGAAATGAACTTGAAAAAAAATTCTTTGTACCTGCTGAAAAAATTGTGATTAACTTTATCACCCTCAATATTTTGGAAGATCCTAAAACTTCTCATAAGGATATAAGTGTAATGGAAAAAAGCAACGATGTATCGGACCTGAATGAGCCCAGCGAGGACCAAGAGCCCCATCAGGAAGAAATGGCGGTGAAGCACTTAGGGTATGCTTCACATTTGGTGGACATTCTCTGTGACTCTGAGGAAAGCACCAACGGGACTTCCCTAACCCAGCAAGAGTTACTCAGCAGAACGATACCCACAGATCAAACGGTCACTGAATATGAATATGATGTAAGAACTATTGGCGTTTGTGTGGGGCCTGGAGACCAAGAGCTCACTTTGCAGGAGGAGGTGTTCCTACAAGGAAAATCATTTGAGCACCAGGCAGCTTTGATGGACACAGTCCCACAAACACTACTGTATTCATATACTCCTCAGCTCAGAGACTTGGACCACCTGCCACAGGAGCACAGCGACATGGACGAGGAGCTAGAGGGAGAGCCACCAACCACGCTGGTCAACTGGGACCCTTGGACGGGCAGACTACATATACCTTCATTATCCAGCTTTGAACATGACTCAGGAGGATATGAGTATCCTGAGTACAAGGAGCTCACAGATGAGGAGGGCCTGTTGTCTAGACTCTATGAGCAGCAGGCTCCAGACAAGCCACCGGCAGAAGATGAAATCTATCTCATGCAGTTCTTGGAGGAGTGGGGATTATATGTACAGATGGAAGACTAATGCCCAAACTTGCCTCTGCCAGACCCCTATTGCTCAAAGCACATGAGTGTACATGTATGTGTGACCAAACAATAAAGTACCTAGGATGAAAGAAGTTTACTCGGCTTCTCCTGTGTCGGTGAGAATTCCTTATTTCTTCTCTCTGTTCTCAGAGCACTTGTTTCCTTCTGCCTCATGTAGGTGGCTGGTGCATGGCTATGCGTCCCTTAGAATGGTGGCAGGCACCTGGATACTACAGGAGCCAACCCTTTGCTTTATACCCAGTAAGGATTCAAAAATGTTTGCCAAATTGGGTGCAGAATTTATTCAGGTGGGTGTACTATGGACTCTTTGTCTATTATTTTCTAACAAGCACACTTCTATAATTATACTCATTTTATAAATACTACATTTTTAGAATTTGGTTTATTGTAAGAAGGATGAAATACTTAAAACATACACTAAGTAGGTGGCAAGTTGGTCACATTTAAGGACCCTCGCTCACTATTCAATCATAATAATCTATGTTCAGCGTGAATAAATCAGGTACAGATCTTCTTGCTACCACATGCTTTTGGCTACTTTGGCTATATCAGTACTTTATGAGAAGCTCCGGAGTGTAAACATAAATTGTTATTATTATTTGTAGTCAGAAAATGTCCTCCCAACAACTCAGGCTAGTAGGGCACTAGCCTGAAAAAAAAAAGTTTTATAATAAGACTATTACATTTATTTCTGGAGATGTGTTTTTAAAAGATATTTACGCAGTCTGTAAACTAGAACATGTTAAGTACTTGTTGCTATTATATTATTCTATTACAACGGACAGTGCCTCAAAGACTCCTTGGAATATATATGAATGAATATTCCCTATCCACATAATCTTTTAATCTTTTTTTTTTTTTTTTTTTTAGCTGAGCCATCCTGCTACCTGTTGGCAGCTCAGCGGCTGCTCAGCTCGGGCTGGACTCGAACTGCTGTTGCTCAGAGCTCAAACTCTTGAGCGAGCTCTTAACCAACTGAGCCACTCCGCCGGCCCTATCCACATAATCTTAAAATCAATAAGTAAACAAGTCCATACAAAAGAAATAAGTTAAATGAATATGTAGGATGAAGTGTATTAAAAATTTGACATAATTTACTGTGGGAACTAAAGCATATCATAAAACAATACTGGCCTCGTTAAATTCCAGTGACTATTCCCATCACCTTCACCGTTTGCTTAGACAATCAAACTGTTTCTACAATCTACAGTCTACAATCACACTGTTTTAAATATGACAGAATCTATTAAGTTGAACCATATAAAATTGCTTGATGTTTCACTGTTTTTGACCTGCAGAAACAGCAATTTCGTATGATTTACCTTAATATATATTTGTTTAACCATAAACTCATAATCCATTGATGCTCTTTCAGGAAAACAGATATCATCCATATTTCCTTATTTATATTTTTGGCACAGGCAGACAGCCCTGGTAGGAGAGATGGACTCTGGAGTCATGATCTCTTGAGATTGTCCACAAATCCAAACAGTTTCTGATCTAATGGTTTAATTTAGAGCATAATTATATTAACCAGAGTGTTCTGTTCTTCTCAATCTTTGTAGAAATGATTCTGACAGTTTTGAGGAACAGATTTATAATACTAGCTATAAAAGAAGATCAGGAGTGGGAAAGAATAACGTTATTAAGAGCAAAAAGAAAATAAAGTGATGATGATAGTTTAATGTATTCATTTCATTCACAAAATATTGAGCACCTACTACGTCCTACAGGATCCTCATCTATGAAATAGGGGTGACAGCTCCCTTAGGGTTGTTTTGAGGATAAAAGAGAGTATAGAAGGCACTTAGATCGGTGCCTGGAACACAGTGAGTGCTATTTATGTGATTGTTATCGTGATTAGTTACAGCCAGAACGCATGCTTAGCACCACAAAGAAGCCATTTAGACATACGACTATTTTGATTAAAAGGCAGAGTTTGCCTCACTTTGTTTTTCTTACCTGAAAGTAAAATAGTAATTTGCTTCCCACCTTATGTCTTCAGATTGAAATCTGTCAGCGGTTTTGTAAAAGGGAATCTAATTCCAAGTTGCTGTTACATCTCCTATCATTCTACACATGTCAGAAGTATGGGGCATTTTTCAAATGTTGCTTCTGTACTTTGCAACTTACACACACACACACACACACACACACACACACACACACACACGGGCGCACGCACACTCACGCATTCAAATGTGAGCATACAATAGGCGTTTCTTGTGGGGGAAAGGTTATACATTCTCAGATGTAGCTTATCTGTGTGGGTGGTAGCTGTCATACAACCTGTCACCTCTGTGGCCACAGCCTCAGCAGACCCAAGAAGTTGTTCTCTGGGACCTCATCAGATTCCATTCCTAGGCCTGAGGTCCAAAAGGAGCTGGGAAGTTGAGGTTTCAGGATCTTTGAAAAGTACTCTTCCTGCTGTCACTGGCTGTCTGTCGGCTCTAAGATTTTACTCACCTTCCACATTAGGTAAGTTTTCTTCATGAAAACATCTGTTGGTGACTCTACTTCCACACCCCATAAATTAAAAACAGGTAGGTGAATGAAAACACCCCCATTACAAAGTGAGTGGAACCTGTGCCACATCTTTGCGCAGGAAGGAAGTATGGAAGAGGGACACTTGTCCCGTCAGCCTATAACATGGTAAAGACCTGGTGGCCCCCTGCTGAGATCAACTCAAATCAGTGCAGACAAAAACTACCTGCACCGCCCAGAGTGCAAGTCCACCCAGCGTGGTGAATCTAATGGGAACATCAAATAGAAGGCTCCGGCAGCATAGATCGATGCACCTGGGTCATAAATCAAATTCTTTCTGGCCCACATATTACCACCCCCACAACCTGAGATGAATTTTTGCTAAATTATCTTGGAAGAACTGTTTTTCTCTATTTCCTCTGTGGTCCCCCACGTTATATTTTCCATACACCTTCTATCTACAGTTTATTCAAAGACTTTGCTCAAAAGCATATGCCTATATATATTTTTTAATATGTAGTGCTATGGTTGTGGGTAGTTTAATAGTAGCTGTTATTTTCTAATACAGAAGACAAATGTACACATATTCATTGAAGTGTAGCTAGAAATAAACTGGGAAAAAATAAAAATTACCTGTAATACTCCCACCTAGATTTAGCCACTGTAATCATAATAGGGTAGAGAATTCTTAGCTGGGGGTGATTTTTGCCTCCCATGGGACATTTGGCAATGTCTGGAGACAGTTTTGATTGTCAGAACTCAGGAAGGGTACTCCAACATCTAGTGGGGAGCAGCCAGGAATACTGCTAAACATCCTACAATGCACAGGTCAGCCCCCCCATAACAAAGAGTTATCCAGCCCCAAATGTCAATAGTATAGCCTGGATTAATAAACTCTGGTGTAGAAATTTCCAGACACTTCAATGTGTATATGTATATATTTTTCCCAACAAGAGGGATCATGCTGAACTTTTTATAACTTGCTCTTTTCACTCAAAAAATATATAACAAACCATCTTATTTTAGCTCTACTTAAGTTAACTTTAAGAAGCACCAATCTTATTCAACTAGAGCTATTGAAATGACAGATTATGAATTATTTTTTTTCTAAACTTAATGCTCAGAAAACCTTTTAGCAACCAGAAGTTGCAGTTATTAAGAGCAAAGTACTGTGAGTCCTTTAAAGATGACTGAACCTCTGCTGAACTTTATTTCCTGAAAATCGCTACTTCTGCAGTAGCTGGATGGTTAGGCGATGGTCATTTGTCCTCTCCCTGAGGTGTTAGACTCCCCCGTGCTTTGTTCCTGCTCCCTCTCCTCTCAGTCTTCAGGTTCTTCAGCGGCAAGTGCTTGCAGACAACCGCTTGCAGGCAACGTTGGCTTTCACTGTAAATCCTGGATAAACCATTCATGTTTGTCACTGATATTCCTCCAGACCTTTTTCCTGTGTCAGCTGCAACAGCTCTTGCGTACTTTGCTAGTTTTAGTCTTTAACACATTTTCCAGTTGCATTTCATCTCTGAACACCTAAAGATGCTGGGTTAAGGTTCCGAAAGCATTGCTCCATCCCAGGCTCCCTGAAAGGTGAGGGAGGGCTTGTGTATGATGTTGTGTTTGTGCCGGCTGAGGGAAGCTCCTCCTGTCCTCAGGAAACCACATCTGTTCATGTGTTTTCCTAAAACTTTGTCTCTGGCACTTTGCTAAATTTGGAAGCAGAGGAGGTATTTTCTCTCTTACTTCCTCAACATATTTCTTTTGATTTCTCAATCTGTCCATCTCTGGGTTAGGAGACACTTGGAGGCTTCCCACCAACTCAGAAGGTGGACATATGGCTCATGTTTATGTTTTTCATGCACAGGCCACTGAGACAATGAACACTGATGAGGAAAAATACCATCTGCCATGTGCCTGTGCCTGGAACTGACTTCTGTGGGGTGTGTGAATTAGCCGCTGCTCTTAAAGGCTTCGTATACTTAAGATAGTTTGCATATGATGCTTTGTTCTCATGAAGTGCATGCTACCCCAACCTGAAATTGATTGTAAAGGCAGACACTTCAGAATGTTTGACGTGAGGGGGGAAAAAACACTGGGAATTTCAATCCCAACCTCCCAAAAAAAGAGGCATGGGGTATTGGATCTTTATTAAATTTTTGACTTTGTGCTTTTAAAATAATTTGGCAGCATTTGACTTAACAAAGGGCTATATGGACAAATGAAAACAAAGCTTAGAATTGTTCAAATTGATTGATTAGCAGGATAATCTGTATGTGTACTTACTGAAAGTATAGACTCAAGCGAAGAAGCTTGGATTCAAATCCAGCTCTGTCTCTATTTAAGCTTTTCACCTCAGGCAATTTACTTAACCTCTTTGGACCAAATACCCTGTTCTATGAAACAGGGATAATAATTGCACCTACCTCTTAGGGTTATGGGAGACTTCAGTGAATTGATACATTTAAAGTGCTAAGGAGAATGCCTGATTCAAAATAAGTGCTTGATAAATGTCAGCAATAAAAAAAGCACCAGGAGGCATATATGAGAATTTCTGTAGAAGCATTGTTCATTAAACAAGAAAGAAATCTTGAGAAA